TCACTCAATCCACAATAAAAACCTAAAAAAAAAAAAAAAGTGGAGAGGAAAGAAAATGGAAGAAATACACAGAGTCATTACACCAAAAAGAATTAGTCAATGTTCAACCATTCCGTATGTACGTTGACATCTGGTCAAGAACTGGTCAGACCAAAGGAAGAAGCCCAAGATGCACTGAAGGCATTGACAAACAAAAAACAGAAAGGAAGCTCTAGGAAGTCACTCATTTATCTATATGCCAAGAAATGTGCAAGATACCTGACCAACTGACTGGAAGAGATCCACATCTGTGCCCATTCCAAAGAAAGGTGACTCAATAGAATGCAGAAATTATTCAATGACATCATTACTATCACACACAAGTAAAATTTCGCTGAAGATCATTTCAAAACAATTGTAGCAGTACATTGACAGGAAGCTTCCAGAAATGCAAGCCAGATTTAAAAGAGAACATGGGACAAGGAATATCATTGCTGACATCAGATGGGTCTTGACTAAAAACAGAGAATACCAAAAAGATATTGACTTGTATGTTATTGACTATGCAAAGGCATTTGACTGTGTGGATCATAATAAACTAGGGAGACCACTGCTGAGAATGGAAATTCCAAACATTTCATTGTGCTCATGCAAAATCTGTGTAACAGACCAAGAGGCAGTTGTTCAGACAGAACAAGGGGACACTGAATGGTTTAAAGTGAGAAAGGTGTGCACCAGGGTTGTATTCTTTCACCACACTTATTCAGTCTGTATGCTGAGCAAATTATCTGAGAAACTGGATTAGATGAAGAAGAATGTGGCATGAGGATTGGAGGAAAACTCATTAACAACCTACAATATGCAAATGACATAACTGTGCTTGTTGGAAATGAAGAGGATTTAAAATACTTACTGACGAAGATAAAAAAAACGACAGCCTTCAGTATGGATTACAATTCAACATAATGAAAGCAAATATCCCTACAGCTGGGCCAACAGACAACATCATGATAAACAGAGAAAAGATGGAAGTTGTAGAGGATTTCCTTTCACTTGGATCCACAATCAATGCTCATAGAAACAACAGTCAAGAAAACAAAGGACATAGTGCATTGGGCAAATCTGTTGCAAAGAGACCTCTTTTAAAGTGTTAAACAGCAAAGGTTTCCCCTTGAGGACTAAGGTGAGCCTGACCCAGGCTGTGGTATTTTCCATCATATGCATGTGAAAGCTGGGAATTGAATGAGGAAGACCAGGGAATAATTGATGCTTTTGAATTGTGGTGTTGGAGGGAAATATGGACTCCCAGAAGAACAAACAAATCTGTGTTGGAAGAAGTAGAGCCTGAATGTTCCTTAACAGCCAGGATGGTGAGATTTGGTCTCCCAAGTTACCGTGCTTGGTGGAGTAGAGTAGAAGGGTCAGCAATAAAGACCCTCAATGGGATGGACTGGCACCGTGGCTAAAACAGACCTTCAATGAGATGAACCAACATCGTGGCTAAGACAACAGTTTAAACACAGAAGCGATTGTGAGTATTTCGTTCTGTTGGTCACATAAGTTACAGCTAACCGCAAGGTCAACAGTTTGAATCCACCAGCTGCTCCGTTGAAGTAAGATGAGGCTTTCTACTCCTGTAAAGATTTACAGCCTCAGAAGCCCCATATAGTGCTAAATGAATTGGAACCAACTTGATAGCAAACAGCAGCCGAACAGGGCTCCCAACCACCACCCCACCCTGCCACCCCCACTTTGGCCACCAGAGGGCGCTTTATACCTGCCCGCCCATTAGCCTTACCTTTAGGCGTGCCCGCCGGGGTCTGCAAAACAGAACAGAAGTTAAATGGACTCCGTTCTCTCAGGACTCAGATCAGAATCCCGGTGGCCCTCCCAATCCCTTTTCTCCCTCCTCACAGCCTCACTGGCAGGGCGGCCTCCCCCATCACTACCACACGAGTGCCATCCCTGCCTGGACCAATCCTCCTACCCTCCATGTCTGCAGCTCTATACCATCCAGATAACGATGCTCCTGCTCTGCTCTAAAGCCTGCTGTGGCTCCCTAGTGCTCTCAGACACCTCCACCAGCTGCCTCATACCTGCTGTGAGTTCAGCACCACCTCTGTCTTGTGTTCCTCCTTGGCGGGGCTCAGGGCAGGGGCCCGGGCTGGACTTGGGGCAGCCGTATTCGCCTTGCTGATGAGGACCACATCTCCATTCTCCAGTAGCTCAATTTCTTTCTCCAGCCTGGAGGTGGGGGTGAGAGGGTGGGGAGCGACAAATACTGAGCAGTCATATCTTCTTGAATTTTATGTTTCCCTAACAACAACTCCAGGTGCAGTGTTGTAGGGTAAACAGTGTTGTAGGCTAACCACAAGGTCAGTGGTTCAAACCTACTAGCCACTCCTTGGACAGAGTCACTCTGAGCTGATGGCATGGAACAGTGGCCAGTCTCTATGACATGTTCATATCACACTCTTTTGCAACTGGAGAAACCGAGGCACGGGGTGGTAGATTCATACCGCCACCAAGTAACAGAGGCAGGATTCAAACTCAGGGCTGACTCTGTTGTCCCCTTTTAGGGCTTGTCTATTATTTACCTAACAGTTTGTTTCAAACGGACTCTCCCTTACTTCCACTGAAATCCATTTCTTTTTACAGGAAATTTTCTCTCTACAGGGAAACTGGAAACACAGCATGTCACTCTCCAAGTCTTAGAAGATAGTGAAACACACAACAAATTCAGCAAAACCAACACCAGGATACTTAACCCCAGCCCGAACGTCGCCTGTCCCAAGCTTTGACAAGGGCCAGGCTGTTAAAGCCGTCCTGGTGTGGTGCTAGACCGCTAACTACAAGGTCAAACTGAGGGACAATGATGAGACCACCTGCTTCTGTGAGGAGTTAAAGTGTCTCAGAAACTCTATGGAGCACTGGGTAACACACTGGACTACTGACTGCATGGTCAGCCATCCAAGTCCACAGCATGCCTTGGGATAAAGATGAGGCTTTCGATTCCTGTAAAGACTTACCGAGTCTCTGTGAATCCGGGCTGACTTAATAGCACATAGAACAATAACAGGATGTTAAAGGCAGCTCAGGATTCACCAAACAGTCTCTCCTTCAGGGACAGACAGAGAAGCTAAAGTCTGGTGTGTCCCCGATCCCAGTCACAAAATGGGCCTGGGTCAGCAGGCTGGATGCCTGCCTGCCCCTCATGAAACACCTTGAGATTGTGTCAGCCCAGAGGGTTTCCTGAAAGAGCTGTCCCAGGTCGAGTGGACCCCCAATGGCCAGCAATTCCCACTGATGTCTCACTTGCCACCCCATCCACATACATCTCTGTCTGCTCAAGGTCTGACTGCCCATCTCTCTGCAGACTGGCCCACCTCCTCCTAGAGTCAGCAAACTGGTCCCAGAATACCACTGGTGCTTAATATTTGTCAGAATTAGGGTATCCAAGAGGATTCTTGCCTCCCTGCCTCACAAGTGGGGAAACTGAAGCCAGGGGAGGCGGTAGAATCCCACTCACACCAAAGCACAAGGAAGCTATCCGCCCCTCCATGTTATGCCCCTGGGTGTTAAAAGATTCACCCTCTGTCCTCAGCTTGAAGGAAAATTGCAGCTGAACCCCTACTACTCCGCTTTCTTCCAAACCTAACACATCTGAGGTGGGGTGGGGTTCAGCCAGCGGCCCCTGTTTCACGGCACCCCATAAGTCCAGCCGGTGTGCCCTGGGCTCTGTGGGCCTCCTTCCCCTCCTCCCCTTTCCTGGCCAGAGCCGATGCTCAGGAGCCCCAAGGGGGAATCTTGGTCGTCACTTCCCTCTGGCCAGAGCTGAGCCTGGGCCTTCTGCCCGCCGGAAAGCCCAGGCCTTTTGTCCAGCCCCTCTTATCCCCAGAGTTTCCTGCAGACCCAGCTGGCCAGCTCCAAGGTCTCAGTTAGAACTGAGCCGGATGAGCTGCCAGCTGGGCTGGCACCAGAAGACCCTGGGAGTGCTGACCCCCCAAACCCGCACACACCTGCTTCACTGGGCGGTCAGCAGAAGTAGGCTAGCTTCCATCCCACCAGGTCTGCCCTCCTTGCCTATGAGCCCCCCACAACCGAGCCACCCACCCCCAGCCTCGCGGTCCACACTCCAGCCGCACCTGGACACAGATTCCTCCAGCTGCCGGGCCTTCTGCTCGTCTTGTTGCATCTGCTTCTGCATGGCCTCGTCCCCCTGTGAGGCGGAGGATGGTGTCCCCTCCAGCAGCCATCGTTCCCTCAGGGCCTTGGACTGTGGAGGGGGCAGGGATCAGGGTCAGAGGCAAGGTCACCCCCTCTGAGGGGTCCCTGGCACCGGATGCCCCCAGCCCAGACTAGGCTGGGGTCTGCAGGGACCACCCACCTTCAGATGCTGCAGCTGCCTCCGGTCCTCGTCCAGTTGCCTGCGTTTGTTCTCGATTTCCGCCTGCCTCCTTCGCTTCTCCTGGGGTGGGGTGGGGGGAGAGGGACGGTCAGCACTGTGCTCCCAACTCCCACCCCATCTAGGCTCACCCAGGTCAGTTTTCTGCAAATCAAACCTGTCTGCCCTTCCACCCCCACCGGCTCAGCAGTAGAGGGACAAGAAGGGTCCGAAGACCCCAAGAGACACTTCCAGAGTCTGAGACAACCCTGACGTGAGACTATATGCTAGCCTCAGTTTCCCCACCCACACGATGGGTGGAGGGGTCTAAGAGTCCACTGTCTTCGGACCAATGAGGTCTCTAATGTATAAGATACAAAGTTCATGTGTGCCGGGACCCTGAGCTCCACGCACCTCCCAGACAACCAAGCAGCGCTCTGGTGCCTCAAGCTGGGCACAGGGACTCTGAGACCCTGGGTCCCCCCAGCCTCCTCGGGGGGCCCCCAAACTCACCGCAATGGCCTGGAGTCGCTCCTGCTGAGAGCTGGTCTCTGTCGCCAGGACCCTGGGGGGTGGGGCAGGGACAAGGTCAAGTGTGGGAGGCTGCCCCCCTCTGCTTCCAGCCAACCTTGCCTCTTCCCTATTGGGTGGCCTTGAGCAAGTCTAGCTCATGTCTCAAAGCCTGTGTTTTTTCCTGGTGTGGCACTGTAGGATAAGCACTAGACTGCTAATCCCAAGGTTGGCGGTTCAAACCCAATAGCAGCTCCTCACAAATGCTAGACAGGGTCACTATGAGCCCAAACGAACTCCACTTAACAACAGCCTCTCTTTCCAGACTCAAAGCCTCTTTAGTTCACTCAGCAAACCTCCCTATCTCTGCCTCAGAGCAAGAGGCTGTGAGGAAGGAGGGGCATTGAGGCTGGGTCATGAAGGATGCATAGGAGTTCACCAGTCACTGAAAGCTGATCATGACAGCACCCTCTTCAACCTCCCAACCCCACGAGGGGTCCACAGAGGACCAAGGAACCCCCCTGACCTCATTGGTCCAAAAGCAAATCCAGAAGCAGCGCTGGGGTCCTTGGGCCGGCCTTCATCTATGGCTAAGAGACCTCTGCCCAGACAGAGGCATCAAGTCGGGTTTTTGAACCTCGTCCCTCCTTCCTGCCATCTTGGGACTCTGCACATAAACCAAACCCCACTGCCATTCAGTCTTCCCGACTCACAGCAACCCTGTATAGGGTTTCTGAGACTGGAAATCTTAACGGGAGTTCCTATGGTGAGGTTGGTGGATTTGAACCACTGACCTTGAAGTTAGCAGTCCAGTGCTTATCTTACAGTGCCACCAAAGCTCCCAATCTGCACATGTTGTTATGTCCCACTGAGTCAGTTCTGACCCCATAGCAACCCTGTTTTCGAGGAGCAGCTGGTGAGCTTGAACTGCCAACCTTGCTGTTCAAATCGACTTTGTAGTCCAGCACATTAACCCACAGTGCCACACCAGGACTCCTGCACATAGTAGCTGTTTAGTGAAACTAAACCGTAAGGCCTGAGCCAAGGATGTGTTTGGGCCTCAGTTTCCTAACAATAACTCTCCTTCTAAGGTATGGAGAGGAGAGGAGGGGTCACAGGACTTGGACCGGTCCCTTAAGGGGACTCCTCATTCCCTGTCCCAAATGCTGACCCTCTCTGGTCAGCAATCAGCATCTATGGGGAGGCCCAGTCTGCTCCTGAGGGTAGGGCATGGCAGTGTGTGTGTGGGGGGGGAGGGGGGCAGACCTCTCTGTCTCTCCCTCCTGTCCCTTATCTTCACAGGGAGTGACATTACACACTGTCCTGTAGTTTGAAGTCCTGAGTCTCCCCATGGGCTCAGAAGAGCCCCCTCCCCTCTGTGAGCCTCAGTTTCCCCATCTGTACAAATAAGTCGGAGCAGACACCTCTGAGCACTGAACACTCTGGTTACGTGCCACCACCCCCTCCCCCAACCAGGGGTTCTGCACTAAGGAATAAGCAGAGAAGGACAAACACTGACTTAAAGTCACACAGCATGATGGGACCATCCATCCCCTCCACACTCAGCCCCCACCTGGGCGTTGGCTCCAGAGAGTGGACATCCATCCTGGCAGTGTCCTGCCCACCCCACATGGACTCCACTTTCCTGGTATGGGTGAAGTCTGTGAAGTCACCCAGTTCCCAAGCTCTGACCTGGTGACCCCACCCTGCTCTTCCTTTCCTGGTGGGCGGCACCTGCCTCTATCTGTGCCTCCCTGGGGTCTGGCAACACCAGTCACAGTCTCTGAAACTCCTTTTCCTCCCTCCTCTGGGAGTCTGGGCTTGGCTATATAGAGTGATTGAGGAAAGGCTTGATCCAGCAGCCTAGTTGGGAGGTTTTTCCTGAAGAACCAGAGTTTTGGGTCTATCCTGTCCAACTGTGGGTCACAGGGAAATTGCTCCCCATATGGGCCCATCCCCAAGTCCCATAAGGCTCTGGAGTCCCCCAAGTCTGGTCCCTTCCCTTCAGACCCACATTCACAGCCCAGTCCAGGCCTCTACTATCCCCTTCACTTCCCTAGAACCTGACAGGCCCCCCTTCACTCTACAACCTGAAGCAGAGTCTCAAACACGACAATCAGAACCTGCCACTCCCTTCCTCTAAAGCCCCTGTGGCTCCCATCGTCCCACAAATAAAACCAAGAGACCACTCTCCCCCCATTTGCTCTCCCCTCGTTCAGCCTGCCCCATCCATCAGGGTCCTTCGCTGTGCCTTCACGGCACCAAGCTGGTATTCCTACCTCAGGTCCTTTGCAGTTGCTGTTCCCCCTACCTGGTATGCTCTTCCTACTGCTCAGCACTGAGTCTCAGAGAGGGCAAGACTCCTGCCCAAAGTTACACAGTAGGAAGTGACAGAGCAGAGATTCAAACCCACGAGGTCCAGAGCTACATCATAGGCCTTTGTTTGCCAAGCTCCATAGTGACCCTGGACCCCACTAGGAAGGGGGCAGAGCTAGGGAGGGTCCACAGAACAGCTGGGCAGAGTAGCTAGACATTCTGTACTGGGTCCCCACCCTGGTGTCCAGTGGCCATTCAGGCCGGATGCAGGCACACAAGGACAACTGTGTGGCTCACTCTCCAGGCCAGAGACAACAAGGCGAACAGTGTCCTCGCTCAGCAGCCTGTCCCTGCAGGGCAGCGCGAGGGCAAGGCAAGGTCAGGCGGGTAGCGCGAGGCGAGGCGAGCGTAGTGGACCATGCTCCCACCAAGACCCAAGGTGAGAATTTACACCCATGGGGCTGTGTCCCTGTCACATATTGAGGGGTGCAATCTATGCGCCCCAGTCCCCACCCCACCTCAACCCAACGAACGAGCCCCTCCCCAAGCCCGGGGGCGCCGGAACCTCCCCACCCTGGGCGCCGCTGCCGCCACCGGTGATGGATGGCGGGGCCCCGCGGGAGGCGGTCGCCCTGGCAACCGCGCCATCCCCATGGCAACGCTGAGGCCCGGCGCGCGGGGGCGGGGCCGGCGCCGAGCATTTCCCGCCCTGGCCTGGTGCTGGGGGGCTGAGGGGCCGCCTGCAGAGGGTGGAACCCGGAGTGGAAGGGAGTCTACCCCATCCTACCCCTGTCTCTGGGGGTGGGCCTTCCCGCCCGGGTTTCTGGGGTGCACGCCTTGGGAGGGGCTTCAATCCCACAAGGGTCTAGACGCGCGCGCCCTGGCACGCGGTACCCAAAGCAGAGCCAAGATAATACTCAACATCATAAATAAATCTGAAAAATAAAGCAAAATACAACCATGAAACCCTAATAAAACAAGAACAACGCCCAAGCACACACTAGCGGCGCAGTGAGTCTGGTTATCAGCACCAATTTACAGGTGAGGAAACTGAAAGACGGGGTGTCTGCAAAAGGCCTTTGCTAAATTTCTATCCTTCACCATCCTGGGAGGCACGGAAGATCAGTATACTGTTTTATCAATGGGGAAACTGAGGTACCACTGCTGAGTGGTGATGATGGGCTCTGGACCCAAGAAGTAACAGTTCAGGGGGGCTGGGTCTCCCTGCACTCTGGTTGGGGGCAAGGGGACATCGGCTTCTCTTTGTGAAGAGCAAAGGTCAGATCACAAAAGGTCTTAAACAAGGAGCTGAGAAGCTGAGTGTTTGTTGGCTAAATGACAGCCACCTCACCGGCTGCTGGGGTCTCTGAGCTTCCGAGGCAACAATCCTGAGCTGCTCGTGGAAGGCCCGCGTCCTCCGCCTGCCCGCCCACCATCAGCGTGCACAGGCATTCAGTTCTTGCTGGATTATTTTTACGAGCTCGGAGCAGAATCTGGGCTCGAATCACGATGTGGGCGGCTCAGGATTGAGTGAGGGCGTCGGCTGCGAGCAGAGCAGAGAGCGCGTGAGATAATCCCCGCTCCAGCAGATGAGCTAATGAGGCCCAAACCCGAGGAGAAAACGCAGAAGCCTCCGTTTGGCGAGGAAGTTATTTTTTTAAAGGTCCAGAGAGGTTACGCAACCAGCCCAAGGTCACCCAGCGGGCAGGACGAGCTGGACTGGGGAAGGGGGGTGGGAGGGAAAGGGCGTCGCATTTGTAGTTCCAGAGTCCACTCCCCGGCAGTTCTGGCTAGAATGAGGGGTCCTGGCCCCTGGGCAGGCGTGGAGCCCAGCGCTGGGAACATTCCTGGACTCACTGAAAGGAAACAGCTGACGGTGACCTTGGCCGAGGAGGGGGGGCCAGAGTCACGCGGGAAGGAGTATGAGGTGGGGGGTGAGGAAGGCAGAAGTCCAGGCGGGCCCTTCCTCCGTGGACAGGGGATGGGAGGGGGAGCCCCCATTCCACCTGGCCCATTCCCAACTCCCTGTGGGACCCTGGGCCTCTTGCTTACTTGATCTCCCCAAAGTCCAGCGCCACCCTCACCCCACCCCAGTGCCTCACCCCCTGTCACCCTTAATATAAACCTCTGCCTCACATCATTCAATTCCTCCCCCCAGTCCTCCACACTCCCATTTCCCTGGTCCACCTCCAGGTTTGCTCCTCCTACACAGGTGGGGGCCACTGTACCTCCACCCTCTCCAGTGAAGTGAACAGACATGGGATTCTAGAAGGTTCCAGCCAAAGAGGGCTTTGCAGACCTCTCCGGTGTGGAGGAGATAGAGTTCAGTAAATGTGTTGGCAATTAACCTGTAGGGGTAGGACAAGGAGCTGGACTCTGCCCTGGGCCTTGGCAGCAGGAAGGGGCAGTGAGGCTTACATGGGGGCATTGAAGGCAGAGGCGGGCAGGATAGTTCCCACTCCATTCCAGCCATACCTGGCCGCTCCTGCCTCAGGGTTTTTGCCCTGGCTGGACCCCTACCCAGGGAATTACCCACAAACACCTTATGCCCTCCGACTTTCCCCCAAGCCTCCTCAGATCACGCTCATTGAAACTTGACCTCCAAACAGGCATCTCAGCTCCTTCCCAGTTCTTGCTCTACCTATACCCAGGTCATCTTATCTCCCCAAAAGGATGGTGGCTGCGTTTGCCTTACCACTGCCATTTCCCCATTGCCTGGTAGACAGCAGGTGTTCAATAAATGCTCACTGGATCAGTTAGAATCTCGCCAGTCCCAGAGGACCCCCACCCCACTCTAAACCCTTCTCAGCTCTTACTGCCTTGTCCCCCAGGGCTCCCCAAACTTTACCCACTTCCTTGTCACACTTCGCCACTTCCACAAACACCTGTGTTCCTGTGATCTAGGATCACGTTCTTTGAAAGGAAGCTCTCCCAAACGCACGTTCATCTAAATCAGAACTCAACTCCCCACGCTAAGCAGAGGACACCTTTCACCCAAATTGCAGTAAAAAGTTAAAACATGCGTGCGCACACACGGTCACTGATTAAGTTCCAGCCACCTCAGAGGCAGCAGTAAAAATACGCCCCACATCCACTGAGGGAAGCTGGAGAACAAACTGTAGCCCATCCAGACAATGAAGTAGTAAAAGGGACTGAAGCACTGATATACTCTAAGATGGGGATGAAGCCTGAAAACAGTGTGCTCAATGAAAGGAAACAGATGCAAAACTCCTCATACTGTCTGATTCCTGGTATAAATCAGGGGTCCCCATGCAGCTTCTTTCAGAATCTCCGTGGGTAGCTCTGACCACCATAGGTTTGACAGCCCAGCCAGACAGTGGGGTCTGCCCCCTTGTAGGTCCAGCATCTTTCTCCAAGCTGCTCCAAGCTGAGTCTCTGTTCGCTCTTTCCTTAGACTCTATCCATGGCGCCCTAAGATTCCCCAGCCAGGTCCTTGACAGCCTACATTATCCAGCCCAAGAACACAAACCCAAGAGCTCAGTGTGATGCTCTTAGAATCTGCACCTGCCACCTTGCCTACCAGGTGTGCCCTTCTGCCTGCCCGGAAAACCTTCAAGGAGCCATCACAGAAAAATTCCATGAAGGAACGGACCAGGAAATATTTCCCACCCACAAGGAAGACCCTTCACAGGCCCCCCAGCTCCCAAGCTGAGATAGCCAGCTTCAAAATCTGAACCCTTGAGAGTGGGCTTGGCTGTGGGGATAGGGCAAGAAGGGCTCCATAGTCCATAACGCCTGTCCTCCATTGGCCAGGCCTGGCCTGGGAGGGTCTAGATAATGTGCCCACTCTTCAGATGAGAAAAATGAGGTGCACCCAAAGTCTCATGGAGTCGGGACCCTTCTTGCTACCCTCCAGCCCCAAATTATCAACAAGCACAGACCTACAGTGGCGGAGGGAGCAGTGGCCGATGAACTACATCGACCCCACACTGGGATCCAGACCACTGCCAAGGCCACCTTCTGTGTGGCTCAGCTGACAAGCCAGACTGCAAAGTCAGGGTGAGATGGATACCCAGAAGCCTTTAGACCCAGGACTCTCAGACACAGGGAGGTGGAACCCCTCACCCAGCCCCATCCCACCACACACAGCTCCACTTGGCCGCTGAGATTTAAGATCCTGGCGGGCCCAGGAACAAATTCTGGTTCTGTTCCTTTCTAGCTGTGTCGCCGGAGGCAGGGCACTTCACCTCTTTGTGCCTTAGTTTCCCTACCTGCTAGGGTTGCTGTATGAACTGAATTCACACAGGTAAAACACTCAGAAGGGAGCCTGTTATATGTAAATCAAGTACCCATTAAATGACTGTAAATTTCTCAAATCTGTACTATCTTTATATTCCTTCCCTTGGAACCGACTCACTGTTTAAACAAAGCCCCTGGTTTTAAAAGGAAATGTTACATTGTTACTGAGGCTGGAAAAACCAGCTGTCCAATGCCACAAACTCTGGAGTTTAAAAAATTCTGTTGTTGTTTTTAAAGACACAATGGAAATAAAAACTTGTTTTTAAGTTCAATTAGCACTGGATACTGTTGCCTTTTAACTGGAACTAGCTTAGCCTCTCATTAAAGTAAGATATTAGCAAGTGGGAAAAAGGCGTCAAGGACTCAACTGAGACCTTCCCCTTCAACACTTCTAGGCAGCAGGACAGAGAAAAGAATCTCAGAGAGTCTGGACTGTCCAGATGCGGAGAAGGCCAGCTAATACCTTACTGCTTCCTCCCCCAAAACAGGAGCCTGGGTCCCTGCGAATGTTCTCTTCACGCTAAAATGTTATTTTCACAGCCAGACCCTTAGGGTCCCAGAAGGGCAATGTATCACGGGCAAATCTTCCCCAAAGCAGAAATTCGAACCCACCTCCTGAGCCCCAACCCAGTAGGGTCCCTTTACCCCTTTACCCTCCTGTTCTCATTCTTTCTTTACAGTGTCACACCTTCCCCACCACCACCACCTCAGTGACTATTCACTCCTTTTTTGGATTAAATCCTTCTCCCCACCCCCCAACCCCCTGCCGCCCCATTTTAAAATTCATTTTTAAAAGAAACTTCTAGCACTGCCACAAAACCACAACAGCCTCCCGTGGTTTGGACAGCAAAAAATGAACCCGTGGACACACATCACATGTTGTAGTTAGTGCCTTGCTCCCTGCCTGAAACCTGCCTTCTCCTCGTGGGAAGGGGCAGTGATGGAGCAAGGTGGTGGCCATCGTTAAGTGCTGTCCAATTGGTTCCGGTTAGGGGCTGCTGGAGGCAGGTGTTAATGAACCAGAAGCCCCAGGTGAGGCCTCTTCCAGCCCTTCGTCATCTCTCAGAACAGGCAGGGACATCTCCATGGTTATGCTGGTGGATGGATGCCACAGCCCACATCTGCACCCAGAAAACCCAAGTGAACCAAGGAGAGTACACTGGAGACATTTCTGACCTATAACCCAGAGTCCATGGGGCACAACCCTATTTTCCCTATGTGACCCTGGGGAAAAGCTGCCCCTCTCTGGGCCTCAGTAAGCCCAGTGACTCCTCCGCCCCAGGCTGGAATGTCCCTCCCTTTTCCTCTTTCCCCCCTTGGCCCCTCCTGGGAAGCCCCCTCCCCATGGCCACACCTACACACTGGCCGGATGGGCTGTTACTGTTAGGAGTGAGGAGGCCCCTTGGGCCTGGGAAGAGATAAACAAGCTGGGAAGGTGGTGCGGGCAAGTCCAGGCCCTGGCTCCCCTGAGCCCCTGGCTGGGCTCCCGCGGGCCGATGGGGATGTGTAGCAGGCCTTTGTCTGGGATTTCAAAAGCAGAGGCCAGGGGTGTTGCCTTGCCCAGGATCTGGTGACTCCCACCCACCGAGGGTGTGGCGGGTCACGGGTGAATCCCTGGAGGGAAGTTGCTTGGAAAACACACCCAGTGGGAAGGGTAAGGGTGTCCAGCTGCAGGCTGGGGTGGGGAGCTGGGCCCACAGTGAGTAGTCACTTGCCCTGGCAAGCAGTGGGCACCAAGGAGGCCGGACACCAGATGTGGCGTTTCTGCCTTGTGACCGTCTGCTCAACGCACATGCACCCTACCACCTCCTAATGCCCACCTGTGAGAGTGAGGGGAGGGACACCCATTCCCACCCACAAGGAAGACCTGTCCTGACCATGCACACACATTGGGCACCTGCCGTATACAAGAACTCTGGGCCTCACCTAGCCCACACAGACCAAGGCCACCTATTGGAGGTGGGGTCCTAGAATTCAAAATGGTATCATTTGGGGGCCCATGTCAGAGACCCTAGTCCTTGGACCGATTCACACTCAAGTTCCACCACTGGAAAACGCCGGGTCTGCCTCAGTGTGCACACCACAGTCCTGGGAAACCTGAAGACCCTCCCTCCAGTGGTAAACCCGGACATCTGGCTGCTGGATCACGGCCTCGGGAGGTGTCTGGGCCCCATCACAGCCTCGGAGTGGGAGAAGGGAGGACCGGCCCGCGCGCGCGTCCTGGGCGCCGGGGAGCAGCCTGCGCTGGCAGGCGCGGAGGCGGAGGAGGGGGCAGCTCCGGGCCCCAGTAGTTCCATTTGGGGAGGGGTCGCGGGATCTCCTAGGACTACCGCTTGGGAGCCCACAGGTGGCAGGGAGCCGCGAGCATCCCTGGGGGCTCAGGACAGAGCCCGGCCGCGGACGGAGCGCGATCGGAGACTCGGCCTCCCTTCCCTAGCGTCCTAGGCTGGCCTCCAGCCGCTGTCTCCCGGGCCCCCGTTAGCGCATCGGCCGCCGGGGTCGGGTGGGGGGAGGCTTCCGAGAGGCGCGGCCCAGAGCCAGCCATTCTGAGGGTCCTGAGAGCTGCTTCCCTCTTCCCGCGGGGGGGGGTTGCGACCCCCGCAGCAGTATCGCCCCTCCCGAATCCGGCCCGCGCGCGCTACTCACTCCATGTCCCTGCGAGGTCCGGGTGGGTCCGCGATGCTGGGCGGGGGCGGCGGCGGCGGGCGGGG